AAAAAAAAAAAAAAAAACAAACCACTGTGTCAGGACTCCCCTGGAGAGGCATCGTTTGGTTGTTGAGTGTGTGAGCAATTGTACTTGTGCTTACAGCTTCCCAGGTTAGTTGGTCTGTCTGCAGAATCCGAGGAGGAGAGTGGAAAGGCAAGGCTTTAGGATATCTTGTTTCTGTCTTGGAGTTAGGTAGCAATTTAGCCCTAAGTGTAACTTGACAACCCAAGATGTGTTGCCAGCTTGAAATGCTCCCCAGAGAACAGCTTGGGCAGCCATAGGTCCTGATCTTCGGCGTCTTCTGGGCAAAACACCTGCCTATCCTAGTTCTACTCCTGTGCACTCAGACATGCCGATTCTCAACGCATCTGTATCAGGAAAGCAAATCTTGTCTCTGTTGCCAAGACCTCACAAAAGGGACTGACTTGGGGACTAGGAACTGACTTGCTCTAAGTGACACATCAAGAACGCAGGGGGTGGCATGTTTGTTACAGCAGATTAGTAAGTTCTTGCCAGCTCTGAGGAGTAGTTTTCGGTAATGCTTTCCAGCATGCAAGGCTTATGCTAGGCAAAGCAGTTTTCACTCCTAGAGCAGTTCCATGAGATTGAAGGCGGTGAGTTACCTTCTGTTACTTGCCTTAAAGTTGAGCGTATAGGCTCAGCTACCTGTGAGAGAGGCGCACGTGTTAAACCCTTTGAGTAAGCAAAGCTTCAGAAGCCAAATGGGTGCGTTAGAGTGGTTATAGCCCCTTCTGCTGTCCGACTGCCCACTCGGTGAAAAGTACAGTGTGCCAAGAACTTCAGCCAGCATTTTTGTGCTGTTGGGGTGGAGTCATGCTCTCACAGTTTTTGAAGGTGTTTATATAGGCGTAGTTTCTTGCAAAATTTCTTTGTTTTGATGGCCCTAAAATCTGGTGTTTCCTTATCTTTGACAGAGAAATTCACTGATTTATTGGTACAGTAACTAATCTAGTGCATTTAAGGGGAAGGTATTACGAACTTTTTTTTTCCTGTCTTAAGTTTTACATCAGGGTAGGATGTTCTGAAGTCCAAGGTGAGGAGGAAGATAGCGCAGATACTACAAGGCCTGCCAATCTGGTTCTTACTGTTCAGAAAAGCAAAATAACTAGACTAAGAAGCTTACTGGTAATTAGTAGCTAATGTGTTTGTAACTATCATGTGCCTTAAAATTTTCATGGTAGGAGAATAAAAAAAAAATCAACAATGTGTTTTCTGTAATACTGCTCAACATTCTCTCTGTAGTTTAGACTGGTGGGATTTTGCATTGTATTTACACTGTACTATAAACTGAAACACTTAGAATGGTTTGATTTTACAAGTATGGAGAGGAAAAAAAAAGGTGGATTATGCTTTTCATAGAACAAATGTTACCGTGACAGAATGTATTATTATTATTATAGGATCTTTCCATAATGCAGACAAGTAGAATGCTTGTTAGAAACCAGGTATGTAGGATAACAATTTGGTGTGTTTTCAATAAACCATGCCTGGAAAGAATACATGTGCCATTGGTTATCTTTTTGTTACATCAGGTATCTCAAATATTCTTTGGCTTTGCAACAGCAGTTTTCTGTGGCAGGGGATTACTCAACCCTGGCTCAGGTCAGCACTCTGTGTTAGTAAAAGGTCAGTGGTAATGAGGGCAATAGGAATATCCTTTAAACTAGTATAGCTGAAAATTTTTGATTCATTGCCATATGCTGGAGTTGTAGCACGAAGTCCTGTAAGGACCCTGGACTGTAGATCATGGGTTTTTTTCCTTTTTAATATACAAGCATATTTCTGTGGGAAAGACATCTGTGTCACTGTTCAGAGGGCTGCACGTTTGGGACCACAAGCCTAACATGCTGATGGCTTTTCCATTTGGGAAGTTAATAACCTTTCCCAATTTAGTTATAAAATCCATGTAACTCTACAAAGATTTCTCTTTTCTGAAACGTGTGCAAGTATTCTAGTGTGTAAGAATAACAGAAAATCTTTAAGTTTATCATAGCAATATATGAGGTTTGGTCAAGATGAGAAATTGTTATTTTGGGGATGTGCCAAATAATTTACACTTGTTGCTATGTGGGGGAGAAAAATCCCGATACTGAAAAGTCAACCATGTATTTCAAGTAATAGCTAGTTGGATCTAGGAACGGCTGGACAGATCTTAATTCTCTTGAGGACTGCCTCTCCCTGGCACATTCATCTGTGTCGGTAAGACCAGCAGGGAGACTGATGCACCTAAACACATCATACGTACCGCCATGCCGTCATGAACCACGACAAAACCCAGTAAATCTTGACATGAGTGCTCTGCAAGGTCTTACAGATAGAGCGGAGGTCAGTTTTCTGTGAGTGAAAGGTTGATGAATCATTGCCAGTAATGGAGTTTGCCATATGTTAATGCTTGATTGTACCATTCACAGCAATATAAGGTTCTGTTTACTTCCGAATGCTTGCAAACAGCACTTGGAAGGTCATCTTCAGCTTGCCTTCCCTTCTTATTTCAGATGTCCTGAGTGCATCCCCAGGAGTTTTGTAAAATCGTCTCCAGATTCTGTTCTTGCAGCTGGAGGATCTAGTTTCACAAGTGCTGTGGTAAGACGTGGGCTCCTGGGCTAGGTATCATCGGCATTCTGCTGCAATGAGGAATCTGATTTTTTTTTTTCTGTGTGGATGCACTAATACGGCAATGAATAGTAGATGCTGTAGGTAAGCTACTGGCTAGAACAAGCATGTTGTTTCTATAACTGACCTTTTATAGCTGCCAAAGTGATTTCATTTCCAGCTTATCACAGGTTGGGCAAATGGAAGCAATGAGTCCTGCAGGTGAAAGGTTAACCTGGTCACAACGGGCAAGAAATATCACAGCCCTCATTTGTTTCAGGTTTCAGCAGTGTCTTGGGGGAATATTCTGTCCTCTTGGGTCTTTTCCCCAGTGTCTTACGGTGAAGGTCTCTGTGCAACTGAAGCACAGCAACGGCAGAATCTCATTCTGGCACGAGCTGACAGAGGGGATTTTTTACAGTGGGAGGTTGTTTTATAATGGGACCATTAACTGAGCTGTAGAGACAGAGGCAAAGACTAAAACTCTTTTGCTACATTTAGTGTGTGTGCACAGCAAACATAGCTAGCTGTTATTCATAAGAGACCTTATAATTGATTCCTAATTGATTGACTACTCAACCAAATAAGCATGCATCACCGCCCTGGTGGTGTCACCTTTGGGGAGAGAGTTGGTCTCTCTCTTGCTGCTCTTGTAGGGGTTTCTGTATGTTCTCTTCACTGCATCTCATGTTTGACTCATTGCTCAAAATTCTTCAGTGGGGTGCTTTTCACTTGCTCATACCAGTGGGAGGAAGCACTAGTGCCTCTACAAGCATATGATGAGTGCTGTTTGCTCTGATGAGTAATTTCTGCTGTAAGGATTGCCACATGGGTGCTGTTATGCTCAATTTGGTATTAAATTAGGAAGCAAAAGGGACTAGTGCTGGGTTTGACTTCCGCGTAAATCCTTTTCCCCTCTCGTACACCGATTGGAAAGAATCCATTCAATATTTTGAAAGACAACATAATGTCCCTTTGGGGTAACAGAGAGGCTCTGACTACTGGTCTGAACCAGACCTCACTTTCACGTGTTGCCTGAATCACTAAGACAACCTACAGAGTAGCTGTCGTTCGGAGAATAGATCTCAATTACCGGTATTTGGTGGGATCAACCATTTGTGACGCGAGTTGTGAGAGTTTGCCGAAAGCTGTGTGTTGTTTTAGGGGAGTTCTTTCCAGTGGGAGCTTTCTATCAGTGGTGCACTCTCAGTGGGCAGTCTTTAGACACATGCTTCCAGATGCACAGTTCCATACCTGTTTTGTGCAAGAATAGGTTGTGTCTTCCAATTGCAATAGGCTGATGTCGCAGTAACACTCAGTAGGTTTTTAGAATATAATTGAATTAGAAGATCCATTGTCTACCTTTTGCTTCTCCCAGAATTCAGAGCATGGCTTTATTTTGAAAAGTAACTCTTCTCCCTGGGAGATTTCACATTTATGTGTCAGTGACTCCAGATCATGTTTGCTCAACTGACCAAAAGCCTCTTTCTAATGGTCAGTCATGCAAACTGAGTCAGGCTTTTGCCTTTTCATCCCTTGCCACCAATAATTAAGAGCATTTCAGAAGTGTGGTCACGTGGAAAAATTTTTCTTGCATATGGAATTCTGTAAATAATCTGATGATACGTACACTGTGTTTATTTTTACAATTTGCCACGTGGGAGATCCTTTCTAATGAATTAAAATACCTTTTTTTATACTAAAAGGTGGCTGTTATATTTGCACATTATTACACATGCATTATTCACTAATGCATCTTTTGAAATATCCGTGCTAACTCTACAGGTTCTCTCCTTCCCTAATTTTCTTGACAGTCTCTCAGACGGTAATTTCGGCCATTAACTAGCAATAGGAATGTATTTTTCTGATCCTCTGTTGTGAAATGCAGAACAGTCTACCTGTTTATTCTTACGCATCCTTCAGCATGTATCTGAGACTTTGGTTTGTTTATCAGTCCATGTTAAGTGCCCTGCTGTGGCAGGAGCGTCTGTTTAGGTGCAAAGGTGTTTAAAGCTAGAAACAAAAGAGGGTTCTTTGGAGTCATGACCGTAGGTGTACAGAAAAAATTTCTGGTCAACTGTGTGTATCCAGATTTTCCAGTGTGCTCTAGAAACTTGTGTGTGCCAGTAAATGGGCTTGAAGATTATTTTCTTTTGCAAATTTTGCAAAAATTGCTGGGAATCACCTGAAGGACTTTGGCCCAGTGACTTTGAGTTGAGCCTGAATACCAAGAGGACGTGTTGCTACGCAAGCTTACAGAATAAATCATTTTCTTATTCACAGTGTGAGATGGAAGCGTTAGAACGCAGGGTCCGCTCCTACACAGGACAGCACAACACAGTCACAAGGGGCTGCTTCTGCATAATCTAACCCCAGTATAGTGAATCTTGTGTCTGTCTCAATGTGACAGAGAAACTCTGATAATGTTGCCTTCTCATATGCCTGTGAAATGCACATGTTACAAGCTGGCTGGGTCACCGCGGTTTGCTTGGTCCTTTTCTAAACTGACTTTACTGTGGGGCAGTTCTCTGGTATGCTCATTATTGGTGTCCTGGAGGTGGGCTTTCTGTAGCACACAGGCCAGGGTAGATACCACTTCAGTAGGGTGGGCTATAAAAGGAAGAAGCAGATAACAGGTCTGAAAGAATCCATAATGGGAAAGATGAGAATGGTTATCCCTGATTTTCACTCTGATTTTCAGCTGTTGGATCATTCTGTGGCTGTTCCAAGGCTGGAAATCCCAAGTGTAGTGCAGAATTCATGGGAAACAAAGGAAGTCACATGCCTGCTCTATTGTTTTTTAGTTTTTATTTATAAATGCGACCGTTACTTCATTATATAATCACAGCAGGACAGGCCAGGAAATGCCAGTGGATTTCTGCATTATTCAGGTGAGTTAGAGGCTTCAGATTTCGCTTTGTACCTTCTCAGTGACAACCCTCACTATTCACATAGTGTTAATAACACTGAGGTTAACCAGGGTGTGCAGGACCCACCTGGTAAAACCCATTCTCTCTGGTCTTTATTTTTATACAGTGTCTTAAACTTCCACAGCACTTCAGAGGAAGAAGCTTGCCCTGCCCCTAAAAAGCACACACTATGTATATACAATATAATGAGGGGATAAGTAAATATGAGGGGATAAACACGAGCTCTCTGATACTATGTAGTTTTGGTGTTCTTTTGGAAAGACCCTGCCCCTTTTGTTATCTGTCTGTTACTGTGTTTATTCTAATCTATTTACTACTTCAGTTTTCCCTACCTCTGCATGGGCAGATTAATAACTTTGTTTGTCTTCTGCAAAATTCTGTTTTATTTTCTCATCACTGCATGGGTCGGTCTTCTTTCAGCGCAAGCCATTTTCTCTGGTATAGAGATGATTAACTTTTGCAGTAACTATGCAAAAATGTATCTGATACCGCGATAGGAGCCTCCATTGCATTAAGTGGTATGCTAGTAATTTAGCAAAATCAGGGCTCCTGAAATGGTCTTTTTCTTGCAACACACATGCTTTTTTCCACTCTTGATAACAATTAATCAGTTTAGCTTGGGGACACAAGTCTTCAGAAGGTGCACTGGCTCTTCTGAAATGGTCTTTTCTTGCAACACGCATGCTTTTTTCCCACTCTTGATAACAATCAGTTTAGCTTGGGGACACAAGTCTTCAGAAGGTGCAGTGACTTTCTCCACCCCACCCTAAGTCCAAACTGTGGTTGTGTTTGAGCTCAAAATAACAGACTGTGTTGTTTGATGATGTGTTGGTCAAGGCAAAGAAATGTGCATCACCTTGGGTTTGCTGAATTATATGAAACAATGGAGCAGACCTTTGAGCAGTTGCCCTATTTACTCCCGATCTTGGTTTCTACCTGGTCTGAAATGATCTCCACTAGCTCTTGCTTTAATTACAGGCTCCAAAATAAAAAAACAAAACAAAAAAAAATTTAAAGCATGGACAAGTTAACCTGTGCAGTTGCATTTATGTCATTTGAAACAAACGTTGAGTATTAATGGCGCTCTCTATCCCAAAAACACAGCCTTTTCCATAGCATCCTCCACTTTCATATATTCCAGATGAGATGGGTAGTTAGTACATTGGAAACGGGGGTTGTTGCGGATATAGTTAAGGAATTCTGGAGCTCCTGGGACGATGATATTGTCAGCCAGAAGAACCGAGCCCTTCCTCAGCAAGTTGCATTCCTAGAAAGAAGAGAAATTGCTTCATGGTGGCTGTTAAGCAGACGTTGGCTTGAATGTAATGTGCTTTCACGTTAACCATGTACTCAAGCGCCTGCATCCAAAAACCCATTGTACTACAGGTTTGGAGGGAAGAAAAGACATGGGAGAAGCTGAGTAACTGACTGATCCTTTGTGGTCATGTTTAATATGATGACTTTTTCTGCTAACACAATCAGAACATTAGAGATGCTGATAACATGTTGGGTCATTCAGGTTCTGAAACAGAAAATCAAGTGCAGTGGAGGCATGCAGTTTGCTGCTCAGATTGTTTCCAACTATGTCTACATGATCAGTAAGATGGTTTTGTTTTGGCTCTCATGCCTAATGTTTGAAAACTTCTTTAATATCACATTAAAATGTTGAAGTAGCTCTTAAGGTCACCTGAGAGACTGCCATGTACCAGTCTGCTTTGGCCAGTCTCAGTCAAACTCCAAAACCACTAAATGAATAAAGGAGATTTTCTGCACTTGTTTTCCTTTCATCTTGTACAACTTTCTGCCATTTTGTTCAGGAGCTGGGCATGAAGCAGGGTTTGTGCACAATGAAGATCACTCTGACAAATTTCCACAAGGCGTAATTAACTTGCAATATTCACTTCAAGTGCAATGTTTATCCTCAGTAAACCTACAAACCTAATTTTTACTGGTATTTTTGTCTAGCAGAAGTTGTTTATCTGAGCTTACCAGCTGTTTTAACACAGTCTGTAGTTAATCAGGCTGGTTGTTATCCTGTGTTTACAGGCAGCAGTTGTGGCCAAAACATGGGGTGTTTTTTATTGCTCCCAGTATATTAGAGAAGTCCTGTTGATGAGTGTGCTGCGGAGGCTGTTTAGCTTACTGCTCTTGCCTCTGGTGACTGAACACCAGTCAGCACAGTAGAAGCAATTTTAAAGACATGGCAAATATCCTCTGGTCTGTTGCGCAGCTTATAGAAGCCTACAAGTGACAACATACTGTATTTTCCACTGGTCATCAGGATTTCAGATTCTCTTTGTGTCAGGCTTTTCTAGAAGTGCATGAAAAGGAATGCTGTCTGAGCCACTCTCATTATATATTTCATCTGAATATCTTATAGTCATATTTCATATTCACTATTCATACTGCAATACATGCCAAAATTGCATGTTAGAAGGTTTGTAACATCTGAGAAAACATGGGGATCTTTTCTTCATCTTTCTCCTCTTAATTTTGTAAGTTTTTTGTTTTTGTTTTTTTTGAGCAAAGCAACTTTGTGTCACAGTTGCAACAGACAACACCATGATGGAACTAAACCACCTCTTTGTTTTGGCTGTGTTGTGAAGGTTAAGCTCCGATAAGGATGCGCTAGCTCTTCCCAGTGGAGAAAGCTCAGTCACCCTTACACAAGCAGTTTAAAAGAAAACATTCTCTGGGTACAAAATAACTGTAGGGAGGGAACATTTTCTTCAGCTACTGTTGTGTAAACTCAATACTGGCTGTTCACAACCCCAAACAAATTTCCTTTTCAAACAGCTATCTGGAGGACAGGGCTGAAATTAAAAAATGGGAGCCTGGATGAGAAAATAATGTAGGGGGGATGTCACCCTCAAGCAGGGGACAGGACGTAGTTGGCAGGTTCTCGATGTAAGAGGCAGCGTCAAAAAAGGTGGATTTACTTGTGAAGAAAATAATTAAAAAATTACACTTCCATACAAATAGTTAGGCAGTTGTAGAAAATTTTATCAGCCTGCAGCTCCAAAGCTAGGAGAGTATCTGTATGTGCTGTGTTGATAGATACAGATGTTGTGAATCTCAGTTATTTAACACTTGAAAATACCTTCTTATCCAGAAGTCCTCTAGTAGTTACCTCACCTATCATTGCCTACTGCTGTTACAGCCAACTTGTTTTGTAATGCTAACAGTAACGGTTAAGGTGGATTGGGAAGAAATGAGCATAATTTTTCCACATTCAGGGCTGGAGATAAGAGTTGGACAGCACTTCCCTAGCAAGTGCCTGACCGGGGCAGTCTGCGCTCCTCCAAAGGTTGCTTTGCAGCCAATTAATTAGGTGGTGTAAAGACTCCCAGAAGGATGATACCCAGCTGTGCTACGAAAATAGTATTTCATCAGAAGGCTCTGCTGGCACCACAGACCCAGGCAAAAAAAGGGGTACTGAGGAAATTAGAGAGGTGGAGCTGGGATATGCAGGTCCAAAGTCTCACCTGCTCCCAGGATCAGGATGTTTTTGGGTCAAATGTTCCAGTTAGTGACCGTGCAGACTCTCCTTCTCGGGAGCATAAGACACAGACCATGCATTCTTCCAGCTGGGATTTCTACTGCAGACCCATTTGTTCAGGAAACGAAATGGTTCAACAGTATTTGCCAAGCCCTGAGCTATGTAGTGTCAGCAGTTGTCCCTGACAAAAGTTTTGGATCCTGTCCCCAAAATCCTCTTTTCTTGTAAGGTTGCTATTTTGGCTGCCATTCTTCATTTTACAGAGGATGAGGTCCTTCATAAAGAATATAGGCCTCACGGACATCAAGGCATTTGCTACTTTACTTTTAAGACTGGAATTGTGCAAACTGACCTGAAGCAAGATGGTGTCTGGTGTGTATCTGTCTTTCCAGTGGTCCAGGAAGACAAAATCCAGAGTATCCACTTCATATTTTTTCTTCAGCTGGGGGATAATTTCCTCTGAAGGGCCTTCTAGGAGTTTTACCTGAAATGCAAATCCATCTGATGAATTGTGAACCATTAAGAAAAAGCACATGCCTCTAGCTCATTTTAAATTGTGGCCGGACATCAGCGATTCTCTTTATAGCTCAATATTGCCTCAGTTGAATTATTTCATAGAGTTAGATCAAGTGTACTTTTTTCTTTTTGACAAATCAACTCAGTTGTGTTCCAAAACATGGGTTTGGGTGGTTTTGTTGGTTTGGGGTTTTTTTTTTTTTTTTTAAATAATAGCAGAAAAAGCGACCTGTTGTTTCTGTTGGATAATGTGATTCTTTACTGGAAACATGGGAATCTCCTGTTGAAAACAGTACTTTAAATTACTTTTTTAGTTACATCTCAGTTGAATCTTGTAGTCTAAGGGAAGCAAAAAATAGAGAGAACAGGTTAGTTTAGAATAAAGCTGGAGGCTACAGTATGTAAAATTCATATGGCCAGTAGAGGGGAGAAGGCAGGACAGAGCCTAATTACATCTTCCTCACAGGTTTATTGGCATAAGTACTGTTAAACTGAAAGAAGCTGCTGCACATTGATTTCTTAAGCAAGCGCCATATACTGTGAGTGGAGTAAAAAAGTGGTAAGGAAATCTGTCTGGTTTATGACTCATAGCTGATCAGGAGATTAAATCAGATGGGGAAAATGCTATTTTAGAGGTCACTAGTACTTCAGGTTCTCTTCAAGAAGTTAAGAAACGCATTAGAAGATCTCATGGTGGGATTTATTTCCTCTAGTTTTATCATCTGTGTTGAAGTGAGTTGTCTAGTTGAATAGACAGGCACTTCTCAGGCATGAATCCTCTGACCTGCTGTAGATGTCTGCCTTGAGCTGAGATAGATCATAGACTGGAAATACCTGCATCTCAGCCAACTGTACAGAGAGTCAAGACACCTCAGATTGCACAAAATTTAGGTATATATACTGTGACCAACTAGATTTGGGTAAGTACATCTCATCTGAAGTGCATTGCACATAATGCAACTGCTTCTTATGAGCTTTTGTAACAAATTAGACTATGGTTCAGTTTTCTGTTGTACTCAGTCTTGACACTGATTTGAACCTTTTAGTTTATATAGAGAAACCCAATATTCTAGTCCAGCTTTTGGGAGGTAACATAGTTAAGTCCTCAGCTGTGCTGCTGTGAGAGGTCAGGGACTGTAACTAGGCATGGAGCTAGTTAAATTAATAAGGACTGTGGGTGCAAGAAAAAAAAGAATACAAAATGTCTATGAATAAATGTCAGATGGAAATCATAGAAAGGCTTCTGATTATGAGGAGGAGGAATCTTTGGGGCAGTCTTGCAGTTCAATAATGGCAGTAAATCTACCCAATTTTGCAATAGTGATTACTAATTTTATGAAAAGGACTGTGTGTGCTGATGTCCTGTGACTATAAGTGAAATAATTGACTCTGGAGCCTCCCTCCAGGCCTGTATTATTATATTATTATATTTGAAATATTATTATTTCAAAACCCTATGGGTTTTGAAAACAGCTCTCGGCAAATGGCCCGTCTACTCTACTGACCAGTGAATAGCGAAGAGGCCAAACTAGAAGATGACGTCTAAATGCTTTCCAAATGTTAAGGAGATACGGATGTATATGATTGTTTCTGATCTTGCCCCTCTGAATCTTCATCCTGATTCACATAGCAAAGAACTTTGGAGAACAGCCCTGACTGTTTTGGTCACGCACACGTCTTGACAAGCCTCAAACTCTACCCTGACTCTCAGCTGGGTCTGCATCATATTTGGACTCCTGACTGATGCTAACAAATTTAGCTCACTTGCATGGTCTATACAGAAGAGCAGACAACCTTGGTCTTCTGTGTGGACACTGGTAGCTTTTCCCTGCTACCAAGCCTGATGGTTAAACTCTGCATGTTCCCACTTAGGGTGTCATACTTGCCTGACAAGTAAAAAGCAAATTTAAACCTATTATTGTTTTTTCTATGGATAAAGTCCCACTCTCCATATATTGCTTCCTCATACCAACAAGAGATAAATGGTATTTACCTTATCTTGTACTCCAGCAAACTGAATCATCTGTTTAGCTATAGCAGCAAATTCTGGGTTGAACTCCACAGTGAGAAGATGAGCTCCTGCCTTCAGTAGCCGAGCAATCCTAACTGCTGAGTAGCCACAGTATGTTCCCAGCTCCAGTGCAACTGATGGATTGACCTCTTCTACTGTCTTGTCTAGAATTAAACCTGAATAAAATGGAAATAAGGTTAACTTTTGGCAAAATCAAACTGGTTCACATACAGAAGAGCAAGTTAGTGACAAGAAACTTACAAAGTCTATGTACTCAGTTGCTCGGGACATTCAAAAATTAAGGGTTGATGTCAAATTATATATCTGTTTCCTCTGCAAATTGGCTTATCTGTGATCAAGTTGATCATGGACATTCTAAGTTTCAAAATGCAAACTTTCAACTAAAAAAAAAAATCTTAGTTTCACAATATAAACATTTCTTAGTAAGCAAAAAAAATCAGTTTCACAATATAAACATTTCTTAGTAAGCAAATACCTGAATTAACTAAAATATTTATAGTGTTACAAGGGAAAAATGCAGTGTTTTTTTCCAGTAACTTATTGCAGAAACTGGCCATATTTGTGGAATATATAACTCCCGAATTTTGAGTGCTCATATTTGTTGCAAATGTTACATGCAGTAGTCTGATACAAAATTTCTCATGCTAAATACTTGTTTTTAAAGGGAAAAAGAAAAATCTAGTTACAAAATTGCAAAATATTTGGGTTCACTAGATGAACTTGTGGAATGGAAAATGTTAGTCAATTGTTAAGAACAAAAAAATATTCCCCAAAAGAAGTGACAGTGTACTATATTCAGTCCTTCTGAAGAAAAGGATTTATTTGTGAGAAAACTGTCTCCTCTTACTTGTATGGCTAGAAACTAGATAGCTAATCTGAAAAAGTATTTGAAGGGATTTTACTCTGAGCCATGGAACTTTTCAATGTACATATACAATTAATTACATTATACTTTCCTGGGTTTCATTTGTTTATGAATAGTGTGATGATGATGCTTGCATCTTGCGATCATGTGGTCATTCTCAAAATCTTAGGAACTAAAGATGCATTAACTTTGATGGCTCTTATCTGAGGAAAGGTCATCTTGTCAGAGCAAAACGAGTGGAAATTTTAAGAATATAATCCCAAATGATGAAAGTTTAGAGCTTTAAGAATTCCTACTCAGCCACCACCTACTGTTCTGTTGCCCTAAGCACCCCAACCTGGTATGCAGAGGAGCTAGTTTCAAAATGTACCCATGACAGAGAAGCATTTTTATTACAATGCTTACAGTTGTATTTCATTAGCTATATTAATCCCAGACAAAGCAAACTTCCCCCGCAATTTCCCAGTAAGAGGTACTTTTGTGTCTAATTCATAAGGGAACATGTTAACATTTTGCCATTACAGTTTTTTGAAAAGATTCACTTCCCTGCAGCTAAGAAAAAACATGTTTTGTCCACATATTTTCCTTTAGGAGGCAAGAACAAAATTATTTACTCGCTAAGTAGCAGCAATGTCTGATAGCTGCTTTCATGTATTACACGGGTAGGATTTCTCCTCTCAACAGTAACTTATAACTTATGCTTGCATACACAGAGTTCATATTGTTTAAAATACTTTTTTTTTTTTAATTTACTATCTTTCGGTTAAGGATCTCAAAGTACTTAACATAATGAATTATGCGTTAAGGCCACCCTGTATAGGAACCGAGTATAACGCAACCCTAGATTTTTCACATAAATTGTCACCCTCTGCTTACACACCTGCAACGTACGCAACGTACAAACCCAGATTTGGTCCTATGACTTTCTGGATTACTCACTGGATACCCGTCCTCAAAAACATCTGCACAAGCATGCATTACTGTTTACAGAACTACTCTGCTGACCACAAGGCTCTTGTGGGTTTTATTTTTTTTTTCAGCAGATGGAAGTTACCATGTGAATACAATAAGATGTCCTGTACTATGCTAGTCTTGAAGGATCTTTCAAGTGCTGATCCCTGCTGTAATTACCTTTCTCATCGCCCACATTCATGGCCCACTCTTTCTGGGAGCAGTACTTATCTATAGTGTCCAGCACACTACAGGGGTCTCCTCGGACTGCATTCTGCAGCACGAAATTTAAAATCCTCTGTTCTTTGCTCTGATTCATGATGAAATTGGTTATTTTTTCCCGGATTATTTCATTCCAGATAAGGGCAGCAGCGCCATTTTTCCTGATGAGCACCACAAAGAGCAGCAAAATGAAAAGCAGGACGAAGACAATGAACAAAAGGACTGAAGAGCTCTCCAGCATCTGGAAGGACAGAGAAAAACAGCCCAGGGTTAAGGTGGCACGGGAGAGAGCTATCCTTTTTATAAACATTAAGCTGAATAACCCACAACCAACCATACTGAACAGGAACACACAGAGTTTAATTATGATATTGTCCAGAGTAGCTGAAAATTACTCTCTCTGTCACTTGGTAATGGATGGTGCTCTGTGGCACTCCCTTTAGAAGCCAATTTTACAGGCAGTCAACAAGTAGCTTTATTTAATGCCCTTCCCCCACACAGCTGCTCGGTCCTGGCTCCAAGCATGCCACTGCACAAGGAGCCTCTCAGCATCAAAGCTGTTCTAACCATTTTTCAAAGGATTTAATATCTTTAATTAGAGCCTGCATGTGATCCCACTCTCCTAATTTTTGAGCATGGGGAAACTTCCAATCTGGCCTTGGTAAGAAAATATGGAACGTTTCACCCTTTAATTTTGAGCACAGTATCAGCAGAAACTGGGCACTGTTAGGTAACATTCTGTTTCAAATCAGCCTGCAGGTCCTAAGTTACTACCTTGTATGCAGACTTCTTTGCTAGCACCTGCCCTTCTTGCATGCTCTGCAGAGAAGCTGAGCTTGATGTTTCAGTAGGACTCGGCCTGCCTCCTTCCTTTCAGAGCCTGCAGCAGAGGTACCCAGGTGGAATGGTTTACAGAAGATAGCAGCCTTTTTCCTGTCTATAAAACCTTTGATATGAGCCATCAATCTGATACTTTAGAGAACAAAAGATACATTTCCTTTTATAAAGTAGGGATGTTTTCTCACTGGTTATAAAACCATAAAACTGAATCCCTGAATCAGAGAAGAGCCCAGGCTCATGAAATTGTAGAGATGTAACAAAAGGGCACATTGTACTTCTCTGATGGGCCAGCTAAAGCTATCTGATGGGATTGTGCCTGTTCTCCCCCTGAAATTCAGTGTCATAGCTGCAGGTGCCTATGTGTGGGCAGCATGGGTGGTGTGTGTTTCTGTTTGAGAGTGTAGGACATAGGAACATAAATCTCAGCAGATGGGATGCATGTCACCCTGCACAGCTCAAGCAATAAATCCCATCGAAGCCATTTACTCTGATGGATTTCAGACAAGCCGGTATACAGGAAGGTGCATTTACTTCCATGCAGGAGTCACAGGACAAAAGATCTGATAAAGAAAGGGTTCTTAAAATTAAGGAATTGATTTAGCCTTTGAGAGGGTGCCAAACTAAGGCTTGTGATTTGCCTGAGGATTCTCTGCATGTGAAGCTCCTCTCGTACAACCCAAAACACACCTCATTTCTGATGATGTAGCTTATAACACCTCCACTTTTCCACCTCTGCTCCCGCAAGCGGGGGCTGACAGTCGCATACTGGGAGGAGAGCACAGGTTGGAATGTGCTCCAGTTAGTATTGGGATGAATGAATGCCAAGTTCATTTGTTCTTTAAGTCTAATTAGGCATTTGCACACAGGCCTAAAGCATTCAGAACCAATTCCTTAACCTCAGCAGGCTGGCTTGAATTGCACTATTTTTTAAACTGTTACTTTTAAAGAATGTGACACTCAACTCGTTCTAGTCTCTGATTCTTTCTATTAAGTCTCTTTCTCTTCCAGCTTGCTAAAAATGGTGAACAGCTTCCACTTGCACTTGTATTAATGTCCCACCTACCTGGAGTTCAGCAAAACCACTGCTCCAACAGGAGCTACAACATCCTCAAAAATTTTGCCTAAGTTGCCCAAGACCAGAGGTAAAGGGGCTATATGATTAGCCAAATATTCCCCCCAATCTTTTCCTACCTGTTCTTGCTTCTCTTTTTTGTTTGTTTCCCCCAAAATTGTCCCAGGGAAATCCTAAATTTGATGGGTGGTCAGACCTCCATTCTGTAGTGGGACTTGGCACATACACATTACACATGGGAAAAATCTATTCCACTGCTTTAAATTTTGAATCATCATGCAGAACACATTTTGAGTTCAGAAGATGACTGAGTTTCCATGGAGATATGCTCAACCTACAGTACAGCCGGTGTTTGTTCACCCATCCACTTATCTTAGTTACACAGCAAGTATGATTTGTTTGGAGCAGTTGAAAGTCTCTCTCTCTTGCTTTTAAGTGGTCACCAATGTTAATACTTACCTTTAATGCTTTCCTTGCAAAGTCTGACCTGAGACGTTTCCTTTCAGGGCTCGCCAGCATCATTAGCACATGAAAATCTTGCTTCTTGGGCTTTCTGAATTTTGTTTCCTAGCTAGTAAGAACCTGCTTCTTTACCTCAACAGGATCAATGTCAATTTTTCCTCTTCCCTTCTATGCACTAGTAGTTCTACTGATCAATCCCAATTGCCCTGCACCTTCCAGAAGGGACTTCTGCTTTTTCTAGTTGTTCTACATGAAGGTGTTCCACATTATCTGTCCACTGAGAACTTGGATTGGGCTATGAAAATATCATTGGTTTAACAGAAAAATGTGTCTCTAGCTTCACTTGGCTTGTCTTCACTTGGCTTTTGTGGCTTAGTTGCTTGTATGGTCATTGTTGATGGATTTGGATTACTGACATAGTTGAGAAAGAATGATTCTGAGCTGCAATGAATGGATGGAGCCCAGAAACCGTTTACTCAAGCCAGCAGGTATCTAACCTTCCTGCCTCTGGACAAGGGAAACCGCGTGAGCTCTGCATACCAGTGACTCACTTGGTGGCAGTCCAACCGTATTCAGGTCCCTCCAGAACTGTTGGCATTCAGAATTATTTCAGACTATTGCCAGACATAATCCTCTGGTTACAATGGATACTTTGGCATCCTCTGAGTACAATTTGCCACAGACTGTTGCTTTGGTACTACAAGATTCTCCCAGCATGTTTGGGGCTGCCCTTCAAAGATCCGTCAGACAGCAAGAATGGATGATAGCTGCAGGATAAACTAGGTGGTATATTTTTTGAGGAACAGCTTTCTTCCTTTATTGCTTAGTATAGATATGAGACCATTTGGTGAGATTTCTCAAAACAGGGAGAGATAGCATCTGTAGCCTAACTCAGCCCCACTCCCTGTCCTGCAGGAATGCTGAGACTTCTTTTTCAGACAGGGAACAGACTGTGAAGACTTCTTTTTATACCTTAACAAAAAGGACCTACTTGACAGTAAAATCCTGCCCCTCCATTTTCACACTGCTTCCCAGGCATGGAAGGGTATGTCAGCAAACCAGATTTCCGTTGTATTATTTTCCCACGCTGCTACAGGCTCTATACACCAAAATTACAAGATATCACATGCTCTGAAGTCCCCATATTAAAGAAGGACAGCTTCTTCATTGTCTGCAGCCTGTGAAATGCTATTTCTTAACATCTCTTTTAGCCAGAGCAGAGAAAAGCACTCAACTCGGATTAGACCTGCTGATTTTTAGTAACTTCAGCTGATCTTGAACAAACAAATACTTCACCCTCATCCTTACTTGGACAGCAGTATCCGTTTAAAGATTTTGTTGTTTTAAAAGAGTGCACTTTGTGCAGAGAAAGATGCCTTGTTTGAGATGTACATGCCCTATCTTTTCAAAGGCATAGATTGTATTTAGGCTGCTGCCACCACGGCAGGTACTGCAGTGTTGACATCCTGATACCAAGAAGCAACTAGCTTGACAAAAAGGTGTAAAGTGGGATATGCTTCCGAACCGCACAGATAGCCATAGCCTTCTATCTCTTCTAGCCATTCTTTATGCAAAAGCATGAGCAGGCTGACAGCCCTTTAGCTTGTCTGGAAGGGCAACAACTGATAGTTCTGCTGGGCCACCCGGGAAACAAATTTTGGATCTTCAGCTATGAAATCTTATCGCTTCAAGTCTACCCAAGAATCCCCTCTGAAGGCAAAATACTAACCTGCATTTCTCTTTGTGTCTCTTCGGATCTAGACTGGTGAGTGGCTGTTAGCACTGGTTTGTTTACACGTTTTGTGTAACATATTTGTCAAGAAGACAAAAAAAGCTGTAAATTTAAGCTCAAATGTGTGTGATTTGGGGATGGTCTTGGATCTAAAACTTAAGCAAAGAAGCAGTTCAGCTTGGCCATTCCTATGATCAAGTGCTCAGAGGGATCCATTTCTTACAGTGCCTCAGTTAGATCTTTGCACTTCTGAGTCCCAAATGAATGCTGCCATACGTAGCAGCAGAGCCCACCTGCCTCCACAGATCCTTAGAGGTTGCTCACAGGTAGCAACAACCTATATAATACATGCTGGTTTTTTCCATTCGCAGACAAGGTCACTTGTTTTTGCTGTATCAAGGAATGTTTTTCAGCTACTGGGGGTTTTTTAATTATTATTGCTGTATAACACCCCAGCAACTTCATAAACTGGCAGTATGGGTTGTTGTTAGCAGAGCTCCTTTAGGAGGCAATTATCCTGAAAAACACTTTCTAGAGAAGGTAAGTTTTAAAAGGAGCAAGTCAGACATATCTTTTCCTTTTTTTTTTTTTTAAAACACACTTTCTTTTTCAAAGTTTGTCTCTCTCTTAATTTCTGTCTTCTTGGATGTGAAAATAAATTTAGGGATAGCAGTAGACTGTAAAAGCAGCCTGCCAAGAGCAAGATGCATTGGTGATGGTCATGCACCTAGAGGGAAAAAAAATCTATACCAAAATAGGTAATTGCTTTCATATTCTTAGGTGGAAAATATTTTATATGAAAATTAAGTGTGTAATTAAACCAATTTAAAACTACCACTACTTAAGAGACAGTCATGTTATGACAGCTTTAGAAAATGCAACTGTTATTTTAGCTTTAATGTGGATTCATGAGATTCATTAAATATGCAATAAAACTGAACTTGCATATAGTCAAGTTTCCCATAACCACTTATTACAAGGCAGTTGCTCTTATTATTTAATGCTTGTACTGAGGTTCCAAATACACAGGTTAGCACTGCAACCTGTCTGTGCATTAGAAACACCATGATAAAGTGAGCCTTCTCTTTGAAAGCTAAAATTTGAAGTGGAAAATAGCAGGCAAAATGAAAAATTG